TACCCATGACCGATTAGTATTTTCCAATTTCCAATTTTTTACTTGGACCTCTGGAAGCTAGCGCTAGGGACATTATCGTATTGAAGCCTATTTTTTCTTATTTGCTTAATTGTTTTGTGTATGCGCTTTACTTGTATAGAGGTAGGGTTATAAAGTTCTAATTCAATGTATTTATTTAGATACATATTAGATGCTGCCTAAGAAGCATTTGTCGGGCGCTCAGAAAAGTAAAATATTGGGAAGAGGTGTTTGGACCACATTGATCTTTATCGGCCTATTCGGTTGGCTGGTTCGTATCGTTGCTGGTTCGTTTACGTGAGAGAGAAGTACTGCTGGCTGGTTCGCGTGAACAGTGTTTATATGAGAGGGCTGGCCAGCCAGCCTAGCCAGCCGCTCCCAGCCGATCAGGCTGTATATTGTTCTTAAAGATTTTGATTCAATAAATGCCTATAGAGGTTTTTTTTACGAGGCACTAAAGCATTATATTTTTATTTGAGGTAATCATAACAATTATTGTTCTTTTAATTTTCTTGTTGTACTATCATTATCTTTTATACAAAGTAAGTATATGCTGCAAATTAACTTTTATTATTTGGTCTTTACATAGTTCAACGGGTCTTTATCGTCTTGCTTGCCCAAGGGCCCTTAAAATTGTAGAGCCGGCCCTGAAAATCAAATATGTGGTAGTGTTAGCTCCAACGACTTTTTGCACAAGGGAACCAAGTACTACAGCGAGGTGTCATTGCCCATCTGAATGGATTTGAACCGAATGCAAAATCATTTATTAACTTTTTATTATTTTGAAAAAATGATTAAATCCATTATTGTACGTTTGGACAAAAAATTATGGTCCCGATGCAACGCACGGGTATGTATCTAGTTTTTTTAAAAAAACTTAAACCCATCAACACGTGTCAAATCTTTGGTTGACGAGGGCATGATTTCCACATTCCAAGTGTTTGAGAGGGACTGCTAGAAATTTTATTGTGGAAAAATATTGGTAGAGAATTTGGCTCGACAATCATATTATATCTTGCCAGAGTAAATTAAATTTCTGAAAAAAGTTGATTCCGCTTTGACTGACGAGCGATACTTGTTTCCTATGTAGTATCTGGCAGTGAGTTATTTGTTTGTAACAACTTTTTTCTATGCTTGTCGCCAAAAAAAAAATCCTATGCAAGTAGCTGGCAATTACTGAATAAGTCAATAATATAAAAATGGCATAGTCCCATATAAAAAGTGTTTTGTGCCACCTAACCCCATATAAAAAAAAAAAGATAAAATGTTTCACTTTGCCCCCAGAAATTGGCATGTTTGTAGGGGCTCAGTGGCACAAAATGCTTTTTTTTTTACATAATGAAAAGAGTATCTGGCTTCAGCCTCGTTGAAGAGGAATCAGACCAACTTATTACAGCTTATTACCAACTCTGGATAAATAAGGTTCTTATAAGAAAAACAACTCAAAAGTCAAAACCCAATTCTAGACAAACAAGGTCATCCATAGGGCGCAAAGAGACTTATTACCGTGGTCTCCAAAGATCGACAAGCCTCCACCATGAGCGCTTGTTGAACCTCACACCGTTACAAATTGGGCCCAGAACCGAAGCCAAGGATCCCCTAAACACCTGCAAAGACAATTAGGTCGACAATTGTCAAATAACTTTGTTCCTTGTTATCCAGATTGACCATAAAATAGTCGCGCACCAATCAGTAAGAGTGATTGAAAATTCTTATCTTTCCAAGAGTACCATCCATTAAACAAGTTATGGGCATTCCAAGGTGGCTTAAATCCTAACACCATATGGACAACTCTCCCTAAAAACATGGCATGCGAGCAATCAAAGAAGAAATGTTGAATGGTTTCAGGTTTGCTTCAGAAATAGCAAGCCTATCGCCATTCCAATTCCTCTTTGCCAAGTTGTCCTCAGTGAGAATAACCCCTCTTTTTAAAGAACTAAATAAAGATTTTAATCTTCAAAGGGATCTTAAGACGCCAAACTACTTGTGATACTTTTAATCCATTATTGATTAAGTAGCTGTACTTGTGATACTTTTAATCCATTACGGATACAAAATGCTTTATGCAGGGTAATCTGCAATTCACAAGTTCCAAAAAAAAAGTTGGATTATACATTCAGTCCTTTTGCAGTTACTTAAACTGAGAATTTCATGTGCAGGAATAATAAGCTCGAATCTAAACTACCATTCTCAATAGTTCTCAACTAGTAAAGAAACTAGGTAAAAAATACAACTCTGTAAATTAACCACACGCATATGGATGTTGTACCAAGCAATAACAACTAAGAAACAAAGAACAGTGCCTCAAATAATACAGACAACTACCTTCGCCCAAAAAAAAAAAAACTACAATTATATTGTGGTTGTGAACAACCAAAGTATGAAACAGAACCACACATCCTTAACCAAAGGTGAAGTAGTCGACAAGCATCTACAAGATACATCCAGCTAGCTAGCTAATCCCTGGGGCGAGGACGAGAGGTGACAGAGACCTGCATCCGATGGCACTGAGAAGGAAAATGACAGGGCTGACACCATGGTCTGGAACTAATCATACAGGCCTGGATTTTTCAGGCCCTGACTTGTCCCAATCCCTGGAATAACTCCAAATCCCCAGTGAGAACGAGCAGTTTGTTGCTTGCATTGCATCGCAGAAATCTGGGAGGGGGGGGGGGTGGACCAGCAGCCCAACACATGTTATTGTTACCAACCACTCCACATAACTCATCATCCAATCACAATTACGCCATCTAGAGCGAGGCCGGCCTGCATATGAAGCCAACACAAGATCCAACTTCAATTCTGAATCTGGTCAGGATTATTGACTGCTGGATCTAGGATTTGCTGGTACAGATCAGCTGAGCTACAGATCCACTGACCACTGTGATAAAAAGATATTTTACTATGGTAAAAATGCAAGGTCTGGTGCTTACTTTGCTCATGCTATCTCAATCATGTGATGCTAACCTTGGTAAGATAGATGACCCTCTGACTTTGAATGACAGTAATGTAAGTGCATACATTATTTGAGACAACTGGTGTTGATAATCTTAATCCAGTGAACATGTGAGCATGAGATCCAAAAACATTGCATGCCTAGTTGTCTGTTCAGTGCTCCTTCTGATGTGCTGATCCAGCAATAACATTCAAAACTGGCATGGCTACACAAACCCCATGGATAGGCACCAACTGCTGTGCAAAACCACACAGAGAGAGCTAAACCTTTCATATATCAACCTGAACAGATCATTAATTAAGCGCTTGTGCTATAAACATCTTGTTTCAAGTTATATATACAGCAACAAAACAACAGCTAAAAAATCCTGAATTCCTAATCCTAAGGTGTGTAGAACTGGAGTGGGGGCGCATAAGAATTTCAGTGTTGCAAGAATGAAAGAATATAATAGCTGGGGCTTCTTATCTTGGTCCTATCCTTTTCTTGGCACTACATAGGAGCATCTTGGGGGCCTTTATCACATATGAACTCCATTTGGCCTAAATGACATGGATTTGTTTGGCATACCCACAGGGGGCCCGGGCCCCACCATGACAGTAAAACTAATGACAGGGGAGAGAATCTTAAATCCCCTCCCCCCTCCCCCCTCCCCCCTCCTGCCTCACCAGATTTGATACACATGCAAATCCTGCTGCCTGTTGCTTCTCAGCAGGGCCAAAAGCTGTTGTGCCTTTGGCCTAGCAGTAGCTACCGCTACCAGGAGATCTTCCCCTTCGTGTGAGAGGTGCCCAAACAGCTTCATCAGAGGAATCAGCACTTCAGCAGTGGAAGCTCCTGAGGCAGAGGTGAGCTCATGGCCCCTGTGTGATCTTCCATGCTCTTGCCTCGTTTTATTTGGCTCTTGATCCTTGTTGTTTCTTCGAAGAACCACCCTTGGGCCTGCCCTTCATGGAGCATTCTGAAAATTTGCATGCATGCCATCGTCATGCTCTTGCCTGGTTGTCGTGTCTTTGTAATTTTCATTCATGATCAGGGAGCAGTTGTTCAAAAAGTTTATTGTTGTTTCAGTTTGCAAAGAAAGAAACCAGAGGTGTTCCTAAAGTTGTTCTTCAAGTCTCTTTCCAGAGTTTCCTTCAGGATCAAGTTCATCAGTAGTTTGTATCTCAGGAAGACATGCAGGCATAATTTTGTTTGGAAAATATAACGAGTAGAATTATGATACATATATAATCTTCCCCTTGCTTCTTCCAGAATTCTGTCTGCAGGAATTTAACGTTAGGACGCTATGAGCGTGTACTTTTTTTTAGCTTTCATTTTAGGCAGAAAGATGTGGAAAAAAGTTTCTGCTTCTGTACCATTATGCCCGTGGAGGACAACGTTAGGTTACTTGCCGAAAGTGCAGACTGCCAAACCGTAAATATATTTATTAGTGGAATAATAGAGTCAATGAGAATACAACATCCATAAGAACTGCAACCTTGAAAATCTCACCTTTGATTCGCCCTAAAAAAAATCCTTCTCTGCTTCTATACAAATCTATCACTGTGTTCTGCTGAAGAGAAGTGCTATAAATGAGAACTCATTTCTGTCATATGACCCAGAATGATATCAAGTCCCATATAGTCTACGGCTGCTTCCATAATCTTCTTCAGAATTTTGAGCGATTCTCAGAAGCAGTGCACTTGCAGGTGTACAAGCACAAAGGACAAATTGCCAATTGATGCTTAGATTGCATATAACTACAACAATGTAGCACCATATTTATTATGATATCTTTGGATACTCATTCAACTAATTACTACAACATACAAATTAAATGCCCCATCGTACCATGTACCCTATCTGACAGGGAAGAACTCTCCAAATCAAAGATGAGTAAAAATATTCAGTTGACCACTAGAAATTGTTACCATCACAGCCTGGCAACATGATAGCAGAGGGATCACACTAACCTAGCATGTAGCAATCGTAATGCAAATGTGTTAGCATCTCTCTCACATCCATTTCTACTTGTTGCAGGCACAAGATGGAGAAGGAACACATCAAGATGGCCATGCTGAGGCAAGAACAAACATTCAGGCAGCAGGTAAACCATGTTACCAAAACTGCTGCTCACAGGTAGTACTGATAGACTTCATAATGCTGAAATTGTTCAATGGTCTCTTCTTCAGGTTCACGAGCTGCACCGCGTGTACCAGGTTCAAAAGCAGTTGATGATGCAGATGCAGATTACCAAGACAAACAACTACGGAAACAAAGTTCCCGAAACGCAAACCGAACCAACAGTAAAACTCGAGCACCAACAATGGTGTGGTAGCTCAGGCAAGACGGAGGCCAAGCTGGCCGAAGACTTCAACCTGGAGCTGACACTGGCAACTGGGGCTGGAAGGACGAAGCAGGAGAAGCCATCCAATTCAGACTCCGAAGCAACGATGTCGTCATCGACATCTGCAGAATCAGAGTCAGGGCAGAGATTCATGCCCAACTCCAATGTAACAAATCTAAGGTTCCAGAATGAGAGCAATAGGCATGATGATCAGGTCATGCAGTCTCCTTGGCACTATCAATGTTTAAGTCTCAAGATGGCGTGAAGCATTAGGTAGGGTTGGCATGAGAGTGCCCCAGGACTCAAAAAGCTCAAACAAAAGCAAGTGCATTGCTGCCTGTATATTACGATTTCATTGCAGTAGGAGCAAGCTCAAAAGAAGAAAATGAAGCGTTTATGGGCAAACTAAAATGAACCAAATGAGAAGAAAATGATCAAATCGTGTCTTTTATTGTTGTGTGGCAAAGAACAGGTTCACTTACATCTCCATAACTAGATACAGAGAATTTAGTTTAAGTAAATGTACTTTTGACCCATAGGATCAAAGACCGTAGAAAGATATCATAGAAGACCAATGGACCTAGTATAATTTGATCCTCCAGACAAAATGATCTTCAGCCAAAAACATAGGCAAGTAGAATCCCTGTGGACACTATACCCTAACCAAAAGTGAAGGATGCATTGGAAGCAATCCATCTCTCTAAAGCCTAAAATCATCGGTCGATAAAACAACAGATAACATCCTAGTTCCAAGAGACATCCATTAAGTCAGCCTTGTACAAAGAATCAACAGATAACATCCATGTTGAGTAATTTGACAACAGCTAGGTACTCATGGCCACCTCCACATCTGCTTTCTTTAAGCTGGCCATATATGTTATGTAGATGGTCCAAAGAAATGAGAATGAATTGCTCACTAGCGGCTGGGGAAAAAAATAAAATTCAGGTTAGAAATGCTGCCAAACAAGCTTTGAGCCAAGCAGATAGAATGCATCAGGTTTAATTACCTGTAAATGAACTGGAACAAACTTGAAAGTAATGAAATCACATGTTGGCCAATATAAAAGCCCACTTTTGATGGTGGGAACTAGATCCCTCTTCAATCTTGCAATGATCTCAGGAACAGTCTCACCTGCGTATCAGATCAGAAAAGCCATTAAATAGCGTGTGAGACTGCATACCAGAATAGTTTGCAACAAAAAGGTTTCAGATCGCTAAAGTTGGTGGGGAGGGTGTACTGCATGTAAGCTTATCTGAATGCCGTTTCTCATATCGTGCTCAACAGTACAAAGTGATAGATGTTTACTACATGCAACGTTATCCTCAGACCAGTAGTACTGTGGTCCATGATACCATGGGTCATAGACTTTACCAAAACTAAATTGAAATGACTAAATGCAAACAGCATCAACCATTAGCTGTACAAGAAGATTAAATCACATCAAGGCAAGTAGGTGGCAATAGAAATACTCGAAACATTCACACCACAATGTTCACCAAGAAAGCAATAGCCTTGTGTGAGTGTTTTAACTATGTTGGATGACAGTCAAATTAGTCAATGCAGCTAAGGATCAAAACAAATCAACACAGGCGCCTTATGGACAGACTGCAGTTTTCCAGTAGAAATCAGAGCACTTATTTGATAAAACTATGACTCAGAGATAGTAGTGGGTTGGTTTATTTAACTTATCTTGAAAAGTAAACACGAGAAAACAAAATATTGCTTTTTAGTATCTTATACACAACATCCCTTCGTAAGTTTTAAATATCTACACCTCACTGACATGGATAGTCAATCAAACATACTGAGAAATGAAAGAATCCTAACTCTAAAAGGCATTGAAGTCATGTTTGAGGAAAGTGCACTGATTGTACCATAATTTTTATGTTTTTCAGACTGCAACTTATGAACTAAAAGTTGGTTACTGCCATCCTCACTAAATACATTTGATAACCAGGTAACGATTTTTATTCTTCTATAAAACACTGGAAGTATAAATGGTCAGGTATTTGCAACAGCCAAACCTTCAACACTACAGTGAGTTTGATGCAAGTTAGTTTATGTGTCTCAAACATTCAGATATATTAATTTCTAAATAGCCTACAAAGTTGTGCCTTTGGCTGCCTTAATTACATCTCCAAAGCCTCAGAGTGCAATGGGTAGCAAGGCAAGCAAAGAATAGGAAAACACTAGAGTGCAGAAGTTTGATTTTAAGAGTTATCTAGTCGAACTTTTCAGAATGATTCTTGCATTGTATGCCAAAAAAAAAAAACATAAAAGGTGTCAACATATATAACTTTGAACACATTAGTCATCTGCCCACCAAGATTGAAGTAGGAAATAACTATTAAGATAATATTTTGAACTAATAAGATCAGATCAAATATGCTAACACAATAGAATGCTTGCACTCATTACGAAAGGGATCCATATTTTAACAGAAGTGCAAGCCTGCTTACAGATGGATATCTTCCTTTCCTTCACATAATACAGACAGAATAATAAATGCTACCATGTGCAGCCACCAGCCAGTAGTTTGTACCCAGTACATTGATAGTTGCATCTCACAAGAATCATATGAAACAGGAACACACTGTATCACTGATGTGCTATTTTTATCACTGGACCACTTTGATAACAAGATTATAGTAAATAGATCCATTCATATGTTTACAGATAATCAAATAGAAGGAATATAGTTGTTTCTTTTTGGAGCAGTGAAGGAGTCTTTAAGAATTTGAGGACTCAGCAACTAGTGCCAACTGAACTCCATATTATTAGCTTTTTTACGATAAAAAAATAGAAGTCATACACAGATAAAACTTAGGAGAAAATGCAGATCAAGCATGCTGTATAATCATTTCTATTAATGCATCACCAAAACAGAGTAATTGTCAGCATAGGAAACAGCATAGGTGGAGTTAATAGGGCAATGCAATAAAATACGGTAACAGAAGCATGCCCAATAAATAAGTACTCACGCAAGGCATGGTCTGACTGTCCAAAGTCTAATAATATATAAGTTATGTGCCACAAAATTGATAAAATTGGATTAGTATTCAAAAGCACTTGTCAATAATTATGATTTTTAACTACTAATAAACTATTGCAGAAATAACTTGTGGTCAAAGAATGATTTTGCAGAGTCAAGGTACACTAGAAAAATGAACAGAGGGAGTACTGAAATTCAACAAACGATTTTTGTGCAACTCAATCAGAACTAGAAGGCCAGAAGAATGTATATATGGAGGCATGTAAGCAATAGTACCTTGTAATCCTGCATTATACGAGAAGAAAACTGAGTTAATAATTGGTCCATAGATTGCTTGCCCTAGAAACATCTTCTTCAATGTGTTCACCACATCCTTTTTGGGGAACAATTTTGAGATAAAATTGAACCAAAGGTGGAGGGTAGGTCCTGAGATCAGAAACCCATAACTAGCCATACGCATGGTCCTAAGAAAATCGAGTGAATCCTCAGGACCAAGCGTGAGCATCTGACAACGCAATAGCAAAAGCAAATGAAAGCGTGTTAGAAGCAACATCTAATTGTAATAGCCAGCATAAATAGCAGTGAAAAGTCCCATCCAGGGGGCACCAAGAGTCAAATTATCAAGCTAAATATGATAGGGCTAACAAACATAAGACCCTGACTACAGAAGTGCTGAAATAGCCGATAGCCCATTCCCTTCAGGGTTTGGATAAACTGAAAATGGTGAGACTTGTGTTATAAAGGCTATAGATCAATTCATTGAAATGGCATACATAAGCAGTAGATCAGCTTGACCAAACACATATTTAAAATGGCTGTCCCCTAAACAGCGAACAGACGTGTAAATGAAGGAAAACTTTCAGAATGATGCACCTGGTCGCATATATCTTTCGGATTATAATGGTACTAAATAATAATTGAAATGTTTAAACTAATCACAACTTACAAAGGATCACCAACACAACTATGACATCAATTACAACAGCAGTTTAAAATATATCACATCGCATCCTACCGATGATAAATTGACAATGTAGCACAAATCCTACCACGTGGAATCTATCGATCAATTGTGATGGCTGAAATTTCCTGTTTCCACGATATCGGGCGAAGGTTACATTTTACGAGCGACCCGGGACAGGAGAAGATCCCGACCTGGGAGGAGAGGTCCGCGGCGGTGAAGATGGCAGCGGCTGTGACGCTCTTGGTCAGCACGGGCCGCGCGTCCAGGAGGCCGAGGTACCACCCGACAACACCCGCGCCAGCCCCGGCCCCGACCGCGCCAGTCTTTCTGCTAGGAGACCCGAAGGCGGACCCCACGGGGGACGGGCGCGCCGGCGGCACGGGCGGCGGGAGAGGGGCGGAGGGCGGCGGCTTGGAGTAGATGAGGTGGGTGCGGAAGTGGGACCATGGTGAGGGGCTGGGCCCGCGGGGGCTGCGTCGGAGCGGGAGGAGGAGGCGGCCGCCGGCGTGGAAGGCTCCGGCAGTGGCCATGGCGGCGGCGGCGGCGGCGGTTGGGTTCCTGGACGGCCGGCGATTGCGGGGTTTTCCAGTGTAGAGGTTTTTATTTGGGAGGAAGGGGAAAGCGGAGATGGGGGCGACGCGTCAGTGTCGCGCTCGCCCGTAAAGCTTGGAATGCCTTCCATAAAAGGCCCGATGGGATTTCTTTCACAAAAATAATCTCTCTTTTCATAAAAAATATGTTCATGGTTTATAATTCTCTATTGTTAATTAACACTAGTATATTGCCCGTGCTAACGCTACGGGATATTTCATAATGCAAATCAAACAAGCAAAAGGCAAGACATATCTTGATATTCAAGTATAGAATGAGATATTAAGATTCACTGGTATATTGCTCGTGCTAACGCTACGAGATATTTTATAATGCAAATCAAACAAGCAAAAGGCAAGACATATCTTGATATTCAAGTATAGAATGAGATATTAAGATTCATTGTAGACATGGACGTGCGACCCGCACGTGTGTCCATCAAATAAAAGAATTTATTAATGGATAAGATAATAACAAGAAAATTGACAAGTCAATACATGAAAATTAGAATATGTCTTTAAAAAATCATTCTATTATAAAAATTCAGATCTCCTACATAATCATTAATTATTTTGTAGGTCCTAACTAAATTAGCAACATTGCCACATCTATTAATCCCCACTTTTCATCACCTTAGTGTATTAACCATCTCACCAGTAACCAAACCACATGAAAGCCATACAGTACAGATAACTTGATTGATGTAGCACGTTTGCA